GGTTGATATCCTACAACTCAGAAATAATGCCTCTATTTAAGGTCTATTATATTGAATATATTTACCCGTGTCAAAGTCACTGAATGGATAAATTCCTCCAAGTCAAAGAAGCTACCAAAATAAAAACTACAAAGCCTAGTAAAGTCAATAAATTAGATTCCTAAGGATAATCCATCCACAGTATAGCTCCTGCCTGCCCTACTGCCTACTAATGAAGTAGTAAAAACGTCTAAAAGACGACTTGTGATTATTTCTAAAGAATCACTAGCACAGAAAAACCCACAAAATCTTGATCATAACCACGATTGACGGCGTCTTATGACTTAATTATAACTAAACAAAAAAGATGATAATTATTTTCCTGAGCTGTAAAAGCAGCTTATCCAAAATTGTCCAAAGAAAAAGCAGAATCACTGGTCTTTGAACAGCACCAAGAAAAAGCAGAATCACTGGTCTTTGAACAGCACCAAAAGGTCATTTCTTCAAGTGTAAGAAAGTGGATATATAGAATACAACTCTTTTGACAAATAACAATCAGAATAACAAAGTTGAGTATAGTTTTGCATTTTTATACCTATCAATCCATTGCTATTAATTTCTACACATCTAAAATGGTTTCTTGGTTACTGTATTCTTTAGTACAATAAGAAGAGAAGATTGATGAATGCACCGTTCGACTACTGTTCTAACTAATACATCCCACTTTAATACTATGGCAATAGCAAAATAAGATACCACCACTTTGAATCTTAGTCTTTCTCTATTGTACAACATGTGTCTTGGCGTCCGTTTTTTATCCTGTTATTTACTGTGGATATTATTTGTTTGTTTATTTCTTCCAGCAAAAAAAAAACAAACATGGTACATGAGTTAAACGTAGCTGAATATCATAAAAGGCTTAAAATCTGTGCTTTTGACTACATATCAGTTGTTTATGATAATGTAGATGTAACGAAAATGAGAATATTAAATATTGATAATTTGGATTTCGCGCAAAGAGATATCTTTCAGAAAACTATGAAATTATATCTATGTTTTATGTACAGCAAATCTCTTGGTAATTGAGGCAGCAAAATTGTGATGGAAAACAGAAGCAACATAGATATCTGAAATTTTAGCAGGACATTTCATAGCTAAAGCAACTGGGACAAGAAATAGGAAAATTCATTCGCGCATTAATCTAAACCAATTTCACATCTTCATCATGTTCTAATATTTACAGTAGGCAAAATCTGAAGTATAAACTCCTATGAATCTCACAAGTAAGAACCATTAACATAAAAGTTTCTAACTATCCATAAGGCAATCAAAAAGAAGAGAAAAGATCAAATATCATTGATTAAGGTTCTCTTTCTTGCGATTCCTCTAGTATAGAACCTTTCAGTGAAATGCCATCAAGAATATCGCTTTCTGAATCAGCTTGTAGTTCTTTAAACTTGGTCATCACTTGAATCATTGTTGGCCTTTTGTAAGGTTTCTCGTCAAGGCATTCAAATGCAACCTTTAAATAATGATATAGTTCAGCATCACCAGAGAGATTTGTTATTAGCTCAGAATCCAGGATCTCATGACTTCTTTTCGCATTATGAAGCTGCTTTGCCCATCCAACTAGATTGTTATCCTCACCAAATTCGCGAGGATCTATTGGTCTCTTACCGGAAAGAAGCTCCAACAATATGACACCATAACTGTACACATCCCCTTTTGCTGTGCACCGAAAACTTTGGTAGTATTCTGGAGGAACATAACCTGGAGTCCCAGCAAGTGTACTCACACTCAGATGAGTATCCAGTGCATTTACCAGCCTTGCCATTCCAAAGTCAGAAACCCGTGCCTCAAAGTTTTCGTCTAAAAGTACATTACTGGACTTCATATCGCGATGAATTATGTGGGGTATGCAGCTGTGGTGAAGAAATGCTAATCCTCTTGCTGATCCTATTGCAATCTTCTTCCTAACTGCCCAATCAAGAATCATCCCTCCTTTCTCCCCTTCGTGAAGAACAGATTCGAGACTTCCCCATTTCATGTACTCGTATACAAGAAGCCTTTCCTCTCCAATTTTGCAGTATCCCAACAAAGGGACAAGGTTTCTATGTTTGATTTTTCCAATAGTCTCCATTTCAGCCATGAATTCTCTGTCTCCTTGACTTGTTGCATGTACAAGCTTCTTGATTGCGACCGTACTTCCATCTCTCAACTGAGCCTTGTAGACTTCACCAAAACCTCCAGACCCAATCAAGCTTTCTGAGCTGAACCCATTAGTTGCTTCTAGAAGATGTCCAAAGGTGAGTTTCCTCAATGGTTTTTCAAATGTTGCCACATTAATGCTAAGTGGCTCGGGAACGCTTGATAGCTTCCAGCTGCTACTGCCAGAAGTTGGAAGGCTCTCAATGTATTTATCTCTCTTCTCCTCCTCCTTCTGAGTCTTTTTAATCCTATAAAGGGCGACGATAAGTAGGACAATACAAACAAGAGAGACCATAATTCCAACCACCATTCCTATAGTTGTAGGCTTTTTATTCTTATGATTGTAAATGCCTGATGAACGGTGTCCCTTGCCAGAGCCACAAGGAGGAAGGGGAACCCCACAAAGGCCTGAATTGTTTTCATATCTTGAAGCTGGAAAAGTAGTCAGCTGTCCGCCAGAAGGAATCGCTCCAGATAGGTTATTGTTTGAGACGTCAAGATCACTAAGAAACGAAAGGCCTCCTAACGAGGGTGGAATGAATCCCTGAAGGCTGTTATGTGACAGATCGAGAACTCCAACTATCTTCAGACCTCCAAAGTTGAACGGAATGGTTCCAGTGAAATTGTTGTGTCCCAAATTCAGAACTTGAAGAAAGCTCATTGAACCTAAATTCTCAGGAATAGTTCCTGATAAAGCATTGTAGGAGAGATCAAGGTAAATCATGCTACCGTTGCTCGTGAAGGTGTACACTGTCGTCCCAGAATAGATCCTAGTTGATGGGCAGGAGTGAACCATAGGAAAAATCGCAAGCCTCTTTTCACGGATACCCTCAAACTCAACCAATCCACCAGCACCTCTGCATTCAGTCCCACCCTCATTTCTCACAAAAGCAAACTGCTTCCCAGAAACAATTCCAGGATTAACGAGGCCGGCTTGATCAGCAAGCTCGGGAGGGATTGAGCCGGTTAGAGCATTGCTATTCAAATCTAGCCATATCAAGTTCCTGCACGTACCTAATCCCTGAGGGATTGGTCCAGTAAGTGAGTTATTACCCAACTGAAGGATAGCAAGATTTGCAAGATTCCCAATTCCATGTGGTATCTCTCCAGAAAGTCGGTTGCTGGATAACGAAACCCAAACCAAGTTGGTACAATTGGTAATGGACTGTGGAAGTTCCCCAGTGAGGAAATTGTTATTGAGAATGAGGGTCTGAAGGTTTCCTCCACTGATGCAAATGCCTTGAGGAATTTCACCTGTGAGATTATTAGCCCACATTATCAATTCCGAAAGATTTGGAAGGGTCCAAATCTCCAATGGGATTGAACCCGTCAGTTTATTGAAGCTGAGATCAATCTTCCTGAGGTTCCTACAAAGTCCGAGCTGTGCTGGCACTGTTCCAGTAAGATAATTACCGGCTAACAGCATCTTCTCCAGAGGAAACCCTGAGGCTGAGGCTGCTAAACAAAACTCAAAAGGTACATTCCCAGTTAACACATTTGAACTGAGGTCTAGCACCTCAAGTTTTGTACAGTTTGCCAAAGACCTTGGTACATGACCAGTTATGTTGTTGAATGGTAAGTAAAGATACCTAACACTTGTGAGTGAACTGATAACAGTATTCAAGAAATCGCCCGATAGCTCATTATTACCAAGGTTGAGACTGAATAGTGAGGAGCACAATTTAAAAGTTGAAGGAAGTTCACCGGTCAGCTGGTTTCCAGAAAGATCAAGCTCCTCAAGTGTGCTGCAAGTCTGCCCCAATTCTGACGGAATTTCTTCAAAAAAGTGATTGTGGGCTAGCACCAATCGCTTCAAACTCTTTAGCTTCACCAATAATTCGCCAGGAATCTTCGTTTGGATCGAATTATGGCCAACGTCCAGTGTATGGAGGCTCAAGCAATTTGCCAAGGTGGGAGGGAACTCAGTTGAAGTAAGGTTGTTGAAAGACAAATTGAGGACAGTAAGATTTTGACAAGTCCCAAAATCAAGACCATTGAGTTCTCCAGTAAAGTTATTATGCGAGAGATCAAGAACAGAAAGGCTCTTGCAAGAAGAGAGGGAGCTTTTTAGTTTGCCAGATAGCTTATTTGAGGAGATATTAAGCACATTCAAATTTTGGCAATTGGACAGTGCATAACTTAAAATGCCTACATCTGATATTGTGTTACTTGATAAGTCAAGCTGCAACAGTGAAGGTCCAAACTTGAGACCAACTACTCCATGAATTGAATTCCCAGAGACATTAAGGTACTTAATTCTATCACAAGACTGCAATAAAGGCTCTAAAACAAGAGTCTCAGAGAAATTGTTAGCTGATAAATCAAGAAACTCAAAGCTACAAGAATCAGCTGTTGAGGAAAGATTGCCATAGAAATTGTTGCCAGTGAAGTGAAGGCGAAGCAGAGTAGGCAAAGCCATGAGATGAGAGAGATGAAGGGGCCCACTAAGGTCTGCAGTAGAGAGATTGAGCTCAACAACTTGACCATTTGAGCATGAAATCCCATTCCAAGTGCAAGGAGTTGAAGAAGAAGAAAAACTCCAGTCATTCAAAAACCCATTTGGATCAAATTCAACAGAAGATTTCTTGAAGGCAATTAAGCTACCTACTTGATCATTAGCAGCCAATTTTCTTGCATTTGATACCACCACAAAACAGCAACTCAGAAACATTATGAGAAAGACAACATCTTTCATCACCCCACTTGGTGATAATAGTTTGTAGCTCATCTTTGCTGAAAAAAAAAAAATTCTTTCCTTCCCTACTTAAGGAAATACGGCCCCTCCATCTTACAATCTTGTAAAACCTGCTTAATAATGGTGAAAAATGAAAGAGACTCGTAAATAACCATGTGTGATAGAGATGTTGGAAGAATCAAGAAATGAATGAAAAAGACAAAAAACTTGATGCTACTTTACCTGATTCTTGTTGTTCATTCAAGTCACAGTCTTTGAGTTTGTTAAGAAAGGGGAGATTTTGCTGCTATTTGGAATGACAATTGACAGATACAGTACATACATATAGAAGCTGCTGCTGCAGGTGTTTTGCGAGTGATAATAGGTTTTTGGGTGTGGTGGGGGTTGTTNAATACAAGGTACTACTGTAGTACAAGTTTCTGCAAAACACAACTGAAAATATGAAAGAATGTTTAAAGTAGAAAGAAAGAGAAGGAGAATAGTATAGTGGTGACTGGATTTTTTGAACCACAGGTTTGAGGTTTCCACTTCCTTGTCGGAAGCAAACGAGAGAGGAGAGAAATATTGGAAAGTAAAGACAAAGTAAAGATGAAAATGAAGAGAATAGCACTTTTGTATTGTGTCTCTCTCGTCTCTTGCCTTTACATTCAACAGCAGGCACCTCACGACTCTCTATTCTTTGCTAAGAAATATGCTGCTTTTCTCATATTTCGGGTCCAGTCAAACTTGGGATTTGATTCTTTTTCTTGTTTTTTTATTTTATTTTCACTTTAATTAGGGTGTGGTGGACCCCGCGTTGCTTTGGTGGGATGGACACAAAGACAAAAATACTTGTTAATAAGGGTGTTTATGGTTCGGTTTGAATGAATTTTTTCCTAAAACTAAACCAAATCAAGTAAGTCAATTTTTCAAATATTAGAATCAAACCAAACTAAACCAATTAAGTCGATTTTTTCTCAATTCGGTTTATGTCGGTTTTTCGGTTTTTTCGGTTATTTGTCGGTTTTTTCTTAAATATAACACATACACTACCAAACACACATTTCGGCACCTCATTTTCAACGTAACACTATCAAATTAATTGCCCTTTTAGAAATCTATTATTTACCAAGATATATTGATGATAATTGAATCAAATAGTGATGAATAATTTAAGCACTCAATTAAAAATATATTATTTTAACATGAAATAGATTCTTACACTTAACAAAAGAAAACTATCAATTAAACTAGAATGTAAAGGTAAAGAATTGTACTAAAAGTGCAAACGATTGATATTTACTATAAATTTTTTAAAACTTTGTATAAAATTATAAATATATATAGATGTAATAATAAATTTAAAATAGCTACTCCTATATTCGGTTTGGTTCGTTTTTTTTTTAATTAAAACCAAAACCAAACCAAATTTGATCGGTTTTTAAATTTCAAAACCAAAATTAAACCAAGCCAAAAAGTATCGGTTTTTTTGGTCGGTTTGATTTGATTTTCGGTTTGGTTTGGGTTGTCGGATTTTTATGAACACCCCTACTTGTTAAGTGTCCATATTATTAGTTGAGGAAATGTGTGTTTGTCTTCTTATATCTTGTTGAGTAGTTTTTATTTTAGGAGTTAATTTTTGAGGTTGAATTAGGCTTAGTATTCGATAAAATGAGTTAGCATGATATCCGTAACTTATCTTTATTTTTGTGTTTTCTTACATTGAAGGGTAAGTTATTGTCTTCTTATATGATCTTTTGACGTTTGCTTAATTCCAATATTTATTATGTTAATAGAACTAAAAGTATTTTTAGGAACGCATGTCTATATTGTCACACCTCCTTTTTAACCACTCGGGGGTATATGAGAATTTTTTCAATTAAAGTGATATTAATTGAAATGGAATTAATTAATTTATCAGAGTCGCCACTTGGAATAGTTTATTTGGTGTTCCAAATCATCGGTTTATTTTAAAATCCCAAATCGAGGAAATTTCGACTTTACTTTATAAGTCTGTGAACCAGAAATTTAGATAAGGAATTCTGTTAACCCGGGAGAAGGTATTAGGCATTTCCGGGTTTCGTGATTCTAGCACGGTCGCTTAAATTATTAATAATTGACTTATTATCTCATTTACTATACATTTTAAACTTATTGTGTATTCTTAACTTCCTAGACGCTTTTTAATCTTTTTAGGAAAATTCATGATTGTTTTTTAAAACACATCGTAAACCACGCTACATGAAATGCACATGCGGTTCACGACACATTTATTTTATTCAACATTATTGAAAATTGGAGTCGGGTCACATAAAATATACACCCAAATTTGGAAATTAGATATTACAACTATGTCACGGGAACCGTACCCGTATCTATGATAATTTATTTAATTAACGTACCTAAAGCAAACTGCGAGTATCATTTTTAGTAACTAAGTTACAATACTTAATAAGAGGGCCATAAGTGATTAAATCATGGATGGCACACCTCACACTAATTTTCTTTAAAGGAATTGTACCTAAGTAAAACAATCTAAAGATGTTTCGATTTTGGTTTAAGTTCAATCTAAACCTACTCAATACAAGCATGCAGGGGATAATGCTTAAACAATTAATTATTTGAGCAGGTTCCAGGCTTGCAATAAGCCCAGAAACGCCCAGAGATTCTAAACAAGAAACTGGGCTCGAGATGAGACCCAGAAATAAAAGTGAAGCAGCAGGAGGCATTAGGGATTTAATTAGGACAATTACGAAGCCCAGCTCTTAAGGACAAAGCTCCATTTTACGACTTGTTTTTAATTATGTTTGAAGCAAATTTCATTAATTTGACTCCTGAGATTAAATAATACACCAGACCAAAACAAAATGAAAACGAAATAAACTAAGCTAAGGCTGAAATGCCAGCTTGAAACGTGATTGGGTTATTTCGATTTGGGCCCATATCAGGTCCCATTCGAAGCTCAACATTCTTCTTAACAAATTGTAGCCCAAATCACTTGCAAATTTTAACAAATTAAATTGGCTTATTCCAAGACCAATCCTCATCATGTTACTATGTTAACAATATAAAACTTAGAACTTTCCTTATTCATAAACCATAATAGCCTGCACATAAATTTATTTTATCACTGTCACACTACAATAAAATTCCTAACTCTAACCAAATGCAAACATGATTCAGCACGTATAGCTTGTTAAATGGATCTATTCATATATCCCCCAACTCTAAACATGCATTCATATCAATAACATTAATGGCATACATGCTGAAGGTGTTCAATCATTTGAGCTCACATGACAACTTACAAGTAGCAGTTTTAATACAGTCCCACACATTACACTTGTAGGTATAGGTGAAGTTGCCTAGCAAAAATGTAAAGAACTACTAAATCTAACACTAATTTTCAACACTCAAACATCGCGACTGATTGCACAGCGGTGAATATCAAATTTAAAGACAAAACAGCTCAAATAAATGGAATAAAAACTGGATACAACAAAAGAAAAAAAAATATGGAAACACATTAAACAAAACAGATCTGGAGTTTTTCACTTCCCGACCAGCATATTATAACTTCATACTTTTGCATTTCATAGTTTGTGAAGTACCTGGGTATAGCAACAAAGAAAGGAAAATCCTGAAATCAGGCAATATGAAATATCAAACAGGAAGACAGCAACAAAGAGCAGCAATCAAGACCACAACTTCAATAACCAGCCCTACTTCAGCTTAGAAGACCAGGAATTCTCATGAAAATCCTTTTGAACTCTAAGAGAAAACCAGAAATGCAATCCAAGCCAAACTTTAAAAAAAATGCAAAAACCTTTTGAGTCTTTTTTTCAGGGTATGAGTGTCTGCTCTTTTTTGAGTGAAAGAAGGTCTATATATAGCCTTTTAGGGGTGCCATGTGCTGCTGAAAACATAATGAGAATTATTCCTTCACAATGCATCTTTCCTAACAGAATTAGGACAGTTGGAAGCCTCTTATTAGTTCCAGCATTTTGTGCTAGCCAAAATTGGGCCAGCTGCCCTAGGTTCTAGAAACTTCTTATGTTAGCCTTATCTAAAGAAAAAAACTTATTTCATACCCTTCCAAGACCCCTTAAGTTTTTATTTGTTCAACTAGACCCCTCATGACTTCAATTTGTTCACAAAACAAAACCAACAAACAAAACCAAACTGGGCACAAATTAAAAATTGAAAAGACCTAAATATTTGTGCAATTAAGTCTTAAATTAATCCCAACCCTAACTGATTTGTCATGAATCAATTTGAAAAGCAGCAAGAGCAGAAATCTACAAGAGATGGCTAAGGCTGACTAATCCAGCCATTGAGATTAAAATTCAAACAAATTTTAATAAAAACATAAAACTAACCTAAAATTAATTTAAAATCGGAATCATGCAAGCTAAGACAGTGATGAAAAGACGAACAATAAGAGTCCTTACCCCAAACCTGACCCAAGAAAAATAAAGATGACGAACTTCGGCATCTGGATGGAAACGATGAACTCTGACCGGAATCCGACGAGTCTAACCCAAATTCGATGGTCTCGAAATGACTAACAACTATCGTTAATCGATTGCTCTTATAGAGAGCATTCTATTAACGTAAGTTTTTAGTAAAAACGAGTCGAATTTATGTGAAGAAAATCGGAAAAGAAAAATTAGTGCTTTTTTTGGAATCCTTAGATCTGAAATTAAGAGCAGTTTGTTTGATTTTTTGGGTGATTAACGGTGGCTTAGTGGTGAGGTGGGCATGAACAATATGGGGTGTGGATTTGGGTGGATATGGAGGTCGTTTGGTGGTGTTAGAGTGGCGGTCGGTTGATGGAGGTTTTAGGGGCGACTAGGGTTCAACGAGATGAGTGTGAGCACGTGATTTTTGTTTTTGCGCGACAGTCGCTCCAAAAGAGTAAAAATTGGTCCTGCTGTACAATTTTTGGATTTCTGTGCGGCACTTTGTTGATTTATTTGTGACTTCGGCCCATTTTTATTTATTTACTTTATTAAAATAAAATTCAAAAAATGTGTACGTATCATGCATAATCTGAACCGTAACATGGTTTAAATAGAAAAGCATAAACATGCATCTTTGTCCGTGATTTTGTTTTGTTTAATTTTACTTGTTTTGAAATATTTTAGTGTGTGTGCAAATAATTGTATTGAGTGTGTATTTAATTTTAATTTGATTTTTGTTTAGTTTTAAAATAAATAAGAAAAAGAAATAAAAATAAAAAAAAGAAGAGAAAATGACCCCTTCTTCTTCCGGATTGGGCCAATTTAATAAAATTGGCCCAAACAAACAATGCCCAAAACCCAGGCCTGCCCGGTCCAGACCACTTAGTACCCAGGGTGTCCAAACGACGTCGTTTNGAAATAAAAATAAAAAAAAGAAGAGA